GGCTACCCGCGTACCCGATGCCACGGCGAAACAGCCTGACCAGAGAAACCGAAACGTTATTCCATTGCAGCTGAGTGCAAATAAGCAAACAAAGCTACGGCCACATAAAATTTGCTGCGTCCGTTTGATACGATTGAGCTCCATCTCCCCACTATGCCCTAGGACATGCGCTGAGAGCAGACTACCGTGGTAAAATCCATTCACGACCCTTTCCTTGTCAAAGTAGTGTAACGTTTCAGCTAGCTGGAATGCAGCGCACCTGGACGTGGTGCTGATCGCTTTCAAGTCCCAAAAGCGGATGGGAACTTGCAGTGCAGGATCCTTTTGGCTCTGACACTGAGCACTCATCTCTTCATCAGCAGCTCCCAAAATTCTTTAAACAGCTGTGAGCGCTCTGCAGTCCCTGTTTTGTGGGTGGGGATGCTGGGGCACGGACAGGCTCGCAGCTTGCACCAGGTCAGCTGAGCAACAAGAGCAGCTCTGGGATTGTTTAGTGTCAAGCCGAGAATGCAGGGAGGGCCGTGGGCTCCCTCTGCTCTGGGCTGCCGGAGCTTGTGGGTGCTGCCCCACGCCCACCCTTGCACACGGTCACTGGCACCAGCTCTCCCAGCGGGATGGGACTGCGGCGCTGGGCTCGATGGAGCTGCTGTGGGGACCGTACGCTTACGTGTCAGGAAACGGGGTCTGTGTCCTTGTGTATCATGTCAGGCAGAGCTAATGCCCCTCTCTGCTTGTTTTCCTACCAGGAAATTTTGGTGAACAGTAATTTCAGGTACCCCAAACATCTGAAACACAGCAGTAAAAATCAGACAGAAACAACAAAACAGATCTTTATAGCTGGAATCAATATTCATAAACATTCTCAGATTGGCCTTAAGATACATACAAAAGAAGAAGAATAAACCAGAGCAGCTCCAAGTTATCAACATGGAAATACTATAAAATTTTACGGTAACATTAACATAATCCATATGCTGTAGCACCAGAGCGTACAGTCACAGCACCTTTCCCTCATGCCTGTGTGCTGTCACTGTTTCACAGGTGAGACTGAGCTCATGAGAAACATTCCTAAAGGATGTACAGAGCTGCTGGATGAGGTAAAGCATGAAGGTAGCACTCAGGAATCTAAAGTTGGAGCTTCTAAATTAGTTTTAACCTATAGAGCATGCAGCCAGTAACTAACCGTGGGAGCTGATGCCAAACTTGCCTGGGGGAAAAGGGGAGCTTGGAAGAGAACAACATAATAGCTGTGATAAAATGTTCTCTCCGCTTCTTGTTTAAAAACTAAATCGATCAAAAACCTCTCCAGAAGACTGCCAGCGTTTCTCTCCCAAAGATGAGGGATGGAGATTTCCCGAAGCCTGTACTACGCGCAGCTTGTAGCCTTCTAGCCTGTACTACTACAAGCCCCACCCCAGGTGTTGGGGGCCGTTGGTGTTGGAAGCAGCAACACACCGGTGACAGAGGGCATTGGCTGGGAATGATGACCAGGTGCTAATCACATCACTGGGGTTACACAAGCAGTTTTATTGCTATTCTAAGGGTACTTTGACCTGTTTCCGTCCCTTCATGCAGCCCAGCCAACGTTCAGCTGTTATTCAATCATTTTCATTCACACTTCTTTGCCAAAAGAAATGTCTGACTGATCTTACAAAACTATAAAAGCATGAAAAAGAAAAGGAGAGAGACCAGCTTTAAATCAGCTTTCACATGAATAATTAACACAGACAAGGGCTATAATGGAAAGGCATTTTATTTTTGCCGGGTAACACCCCTCCCTGTTTAAAGGAAGTAATGGGGAAAGGGAAAACACCAACAAACCCCCAAAGCACTAGTGTCACCATGAATATTTGAGAGGTCAGGTCTGAGAGCTGCAGCAAAGGCCTGCTCGCTTCCCCCACCGCCGCCTGAGGCAGAGCGGGTTTGGAATTCTCCACAACCAGCTTCACATACAGAACAACAAGAGCGATGCTGCCAGTGGCATTTTTAACTCCTTGGGTCTCCTATGAGATAGTTAAACAGACCTTGGGCATATTAATAAAGCTAAAAAAAGGTAAAATATTTTAAAAATTCATGGAAGGGAGCTCGCTGTGCTAGTCCCACGTTCTTTTCAGCAGTAATTCACTCTAAAGTGTCTACGGAGTGCAAACTGTATTAGGGGGCTGAAAGCGTTAACTCTAATAAAGATAACAGCCAACACATATAAATAAGACTCATTTCTGTTTTAAAACATCATGAGAAAGTCAATTCCGATTGCATGATTGACGGAGACTTCCTAAATATTAATAAATATTTTACATATATTTACAAGCTTCTGATTTCATCCTCTGACGCTAACGTGGAGTTCAGACCGTAACTAGGACACGGCGGGCAGCACCGCAGGGCACGCAGGCAAATGGCTGCAGTGAATTTGGGATGCTGGGGCAAGCAGCGAGATGGAAAGCTAAAAATAGACCACTCCGCAGAGCGCCAGGCAGCCAGTCAGCCCAGCTCCTGCCCGCTCTGCGTGACGACCCAACCTGCTGCTCTTCCGTTTGCGGAATGAAATGCCAGGATAACGTGGAGCGGCTGTGCCAGGGAGGAAGGGAGGGAAGGGGAGCGGCAGCCACCCCACCAGGTTTTCTGGAGCCTGCCACAGCGTGTGTCGGCAGCCCGGAGGGTTTTTTCCGGGGAAAAAGGGAGGTTGTCCAGGCCCTGCCCCGCAGCAGCTCTTGGTGAGCCCCACGGAGCGGTTTGTACAACCACCACATTGCTGTTCGGTGTCTGTGCCCTGCCCGGCGCAGCAGGGGAATCCCGGGAGGGCGACGGCTGGAGGGCAAGGGTCTGCTGCTTCCCCTGAGCTGCCCTGGGCGCTGCCGAGGTGGAGGGGGAACAGGCGAGCCGTGAGGGACCCTCTTCCCTTCGCACGCTCAGGATTTACTTAGTCCTTGAGCCTGCCTGTTCTGACACGTCCTAAATCCCCTTCAAAGGGGGATACCCTGCACCTCAGCGGCTTGAGGATGGCAGGGAAGAGGACTGCAAGCCGAGGACGGAGCGACTGTAACAGGTGGCTGGGGCATTTCTAGGAGAAAATGGTAAGAACAACAACAGGGGAGATGCAAAGTGAGATTTCACGCATTTCTGTCAGCCTAGTTTTCCCGATGCAGCAAACACACGGCCTGGTTTTGGCACAGAAACAAGAAAAAGTGCTGATGTGACTGAGGTGAGGCGACCCTTCCAGAAGAACAGACCCCTCAAAGCAGCCTGTCTGCGCTGCTCACCTCCTGCGATCCTACACCCTTGCCTCACACCAGCACTCCAGGTGCTTTAACATGCAAGACACTTTTTCCAGAGGTACCCCGAGGAGAGGGCCATGGCAGCTGACGTTACAGGGGACAGCTACGAGGGAGAGTTAGCCTCGAGCTCTGCTTTTCCTGTTTGCATTGGTCCAAAAAAAATTAAAAATTTATGTCAATAAGCCCTGCATACACCAAAATTCTCATTTTCCAAGGGGGCATTGAAAGAAAAATCAGGATGGATGAGTCCCTGTGAAGGTTTAAGGAGACTTTTGCATGTGCTTTTCAAATCAACTTAAAAGATGATATGAGTGGCTGCTCCGAAGGCTGCAATGTAGCATGCAAAGACATGGGGAAGGGGAAGCCTCATTCCCCTGGGCAGCAGGACGCAGCCCGCAGTGGGACTGGAGCCCAGCCGCTGCCTGGGAGCCAACCACCCCAGCGTGCCTGACCAGGCTGCCGGGGCAGTCCGCCTCCTCTTCGGCTTTCCCATGCACGAGATTTGGACAGGAGAATCTTTTGATTAATACGTCTTTAAAATCATGTTAGGGAAATCCAGTCCCAGCTACTTTGGAGCAGTTCTGAGGTATCTCTCATTAATCCGAAGTATAGAAATGTTAATAAATAGATCTGAAACTCTTCTACTATGTCATTCTATAATACACTGCTATATAGACATTAAATATGCCTCAGGGTATTAAAAAATTTATGAAAAAGTTACAGTAGTTGATTTTCAAGTATTAATAACTTGGCTATGTTAGCTTGTTTTTAAATATCAAAATGATCTGGCCCCAAATTATTGACTAAACTCCGCCTATGCCTGAATTAAAAAAAAGTATTTTGAATATAAAAAAAAGTGCAAAAAAGCATGAGATGTCAATTAACGTCATAACTTAGTTGGAACTTCTAAACAACTAGTCTAACACTCTTCCGTGAGTGAATTAAAAAGGGAAAAAGAATGAAAAAAGATTAAAGAAAAAAGAGAGATTGCTCCCAATCTGAGACAGCACCGTCCCAAATTTCAGCAGAACACGAATTTTTACAGCCAAGTTATAAACCCCAGAAAAAATGGGGTTATCGGTAGATATGCTGTCAGACATAACTATAGCAGTATTTGTGTGCTCCATTATAATACAAATGTACACCTTACCCACCATTTTCTCTGAGTAACCACGAGAACAACTTTACCGGTATTCAGTTAAAATTAGAAGCCTCCCTTATTTACCATCCCCCCCATAAACTGTACAGCTCTGTCTACTACTAAAATTCACTGCTACTAGTAGTCATCATCGTACATTCAAGATAGAAAGTAAACTACTAAAACCTGCTCAGGAGACACTTAGAAGTACACTAAGGCTTAAAAAGTACAGCAGCTCAGGGGAACGGCCAGCCACACGGGCGACGAGTTTTGTCACGTATCTTGCCCTAGGACACACGCTGTAGAGTCCCCTG